TACCACTCAGCATCCTGAGCAAATACCCAGTGAGAGTCGGCAGCCACATTGATTGGTGTTGATTCCATCTGGGCAGCCAGCAGCGACTGACAGAGGATCTAAGCCGCTGCGAAAGGCAACCATTAATCTTGGTCCTGTTTAAGCAGCATGTATTAATTTGTGTCATTTTTACTAAGTCAGCCAGGGAAGAGCGTTTGCCATCTTATGTCTGACTGTTCATCGAAGTCAGGGGGGTCCTTTGTACAACCCCAGCATGCTGTCGACATGCCACTTACATCTTAGTGGCAGGGTGCCAGACAACCCACCTCCATCAAAGTGCCCAAGAAAATCTCATGGCACAATCTGTTATTCGATTAAAAAAAAAAACAGCACATATTTCTCTTATCAAACGGTGCAAAAGGCCAGGGGTGTGCCCATGCTACTGCAAGGATTGAACACCATAACGAAATGAGAGCATAAACAGCATAACCCAGAGGTTGGGGTGCACAGCTGGAGCCATTTGAACATATCAGTAATAGGATCTGCAGGTGTTTCAACTCCAACAATATCAGGATCTATGCTTTTACCAGTCATACTGTGTGGGGCAATTCCATGAGACTGTGCAAAATCCAATCACATCTAAACAGTACCAATAAGGAAAACAATGGCTGAGGCAATTGCTATGGCAATAATGTCACCAGAGCTGTTTTGTAGACACTAAAAGCTGCTCTAGAGAAAAACATCTGATAAAAAAGAAACTCCACTCTGCCATAGAGCAAATTTTCTCTCTAAAGCAATTTTATATTCGATAAGTGGGAAGGCATTCTAAGCATAATGGATCTGAGTATGATCCCTGTCAGAAAACTAAGAACAGAGCTACGAATAAATGCCCAGTGTTTAGAATTATCAATCCTGCTGCATCAGATAACCAGACTGAAGAACACTAATTAAATAAATCATATATTACACGTAGATACACACCAATACAAACATGTGTATCTATATTTATGTGTGTTTATATATGTTTAAGCATAAAGCGCTGGTACCTATCTATGGCTCCCAGGCTTAGATCCTCTGTCAGTCGCTGCTGGCTGCCCAGATGGAATCAACACCAATCAATGTGGCTGCAGACTCTCACTGGGTATTTGCTTATTTGCTCAGGATGCTGAGCTATATATATATATATATAT